AGAAGTTCGCAGACTTGTTATATTTGTCAAACATGTGCTAGGAAACGGAAAAAAACACATCAAAAGATACTGACATTGAGCTCGAATATAATGTACATACAGTGAATATAAAGTTTGCATGTAACTTTGAACAACAGTGCTATGTAGTACTTTCAGCGAGCCGATATTAACACTGGTTTTGGCTGACTTTACCTCAATTCCAACGTTAAGATCAATTTTTTTCGACATAATCACAACTTTTGATGGACTTATTTTATGTACACGTATGATCGACTTATTTCATGTACAAATATGCTCGACTAATTTCATGTATATGATTGATAGACTTATTTCATGTACATATATATGTACCCAAATTTAGCTCGTCTGTTATAAAACGCTGGTTATGCGAGGGAGATGGTTTCTTTACAATACCAGCTGTCATTATGTAACAGCTCGTTATCCAACATTAACTTACAATGTCCTCCTACCTTAACATTTGTCATCAAACACTGTAATGGTACCATCTTTTAACGGCTCGCCATAGAATTATTTTCAGCTTCGTTTTGTCTATCATCAGTAGAAGCATTCAATTATTTGTAAAATTGGTTACTTAGATCTTGAAACGATATTAGATTTGTGTTAGACTGTTATGCAATATATCAAAACTCGATACATTTTTACATTGGTCTTATTGTAACAAAAATTTGAATAAATATGTTATGCTAAAATAACTTGTATGTAAGGTTTATATCAAGTAGTTGAAGATATTTTATCAAATAAAAAGTAGTTGCAATGTGTATGGTAATCAACTTTAATGCTGAATTGTATAGATATATCGAAAGGTGTTAAAACATTCAAGCAAATCCCCGGTAATAAGTTACAAAGTGACCGAGTGGTTAAGTCGGTCAAGTTATCTAATAATTGCCGAGTGGATTCAAACCCTTTGAGGTGCAGGCGGTTGTTTCCTTGAGCAAAACAAATTTTAACACTTATTGATAAATACCGGTTGCTTCAAGGAACGGATCAGTAAGTTAATTAGCTTGAAGTTTTGTCCACAACCGAAATAAAAAACTCCATAAAAAATAAACAGGAATCGGAAAAACACAACAATTCCGTGGTAGGATGGACATGATATGTTATGAGATTCTGTATAAACTTATATCTAGTTTTATTTTTGTTTTTCAAAATGCTTCTCTATTAAATACTAAGATATCATTTAGACATAATCAATATAACTATTATCCCATTATCTACTACAAAAGGTAAATAGGTTACCTGCTCTAGATTAATTATCTCCGAATAAGGAGTAAATTCCATCCCATCTGGTGTTTATGACTTATGACATGTTGTTATAGGAATGCTGAAATTTTACCTCAGTGGTAAACAATCAATATCAATGCAAAAAGACACATATATTTGTATAATATAGAAGATTATGGTGGCTGATTTGGTACATTGCACGTTGCGTTGTCGTTAGCGACAACACAACCCAAATCGTTATCGCCTTTTCGTCTTGTCGCTAGCGACAACACGACAAAGCGACAAACGGCGCATTGTCGCATTGTCATCTTTTTTCTAGCCAAGCAAGCCAAACGGCGCGTTGTTGTCCGGCGCGTTGTCGCGATGTCGCCCTGTCGCTTAGCTTATAAGCCAATCCATCGATTTGAACCGAGCGACAGTGTGACATCGAGACAACACGCCACACGACAAAGCGCCGTTTGGCGTATATCATTAGCGACAAGATGACAAGACGAAAGTCCGACAACGCCCCGTTAGCGTTTCAAATCAGCCACCATATAAGAAAAATCATAAAATTAAAAAATAAATTCACACCGTCATTATCACGGACTAGATAGAAAATATAAATGTGATCTTCATCAATGTGGCAGAAAATTAGAACAACTACAATGGTAAAAGATGAAAAAACCTTTATTTTCCATTCTTATTATTTGTATGACTTAATATACAAGACGAAACATATTTTGTCAAATCTACATAACTTGGTATCAATACATAAAATGTATCAAACATAACTTTTCTGCTCAAGATCTTTTTCTTTTAATAAACGTTTCCTCAGGTGCATTCTGAAAGCTTAAATGTAAATTCCCTGATAATGTATCTGTGGTTTAAAAACTAAACGTTTGTATATTGGAAATATGATTTCAATGATAGGTGTCTGAGGTGCTGTTGAAATATTTTGTATTTATCTTTTAATTAGCACATAGAGTAGTTCTTTATCTCATTATTTTCAGATAAATACGAATTATGCTTTATCATGTAATCTTCAGTGATGTCTTGAAAACCTGTTGTCTTCACAATGATATCTACGTTTGAACCGTATTGACTACACAAATCATTTTACGGTTATTGAGAGGTGATTTCAATACATGGTTGATACGAAATTTTAGATCGCTGACATCGTGCTTTTACATACAAATGATACATGTTATGTTATTTATTCACTATATTCACTATCATATGCCGTTGATAACTTGATACCTGTTGTTGTGACTGAAAATGATAATATAATACCTTCAATGATTTATTTACAATATAACCTTATATGACGTCAGAGGGTAGAAATAGAACTTCACCCTTGATGGCCATCTCGGCTAACGTACTGGATGAGGTCACTTGACTATGATGTATGATATTTATAGAATATTAACTGTTTTTCAGGTATGAACAGAATGATCAATATTGACGAGAAAAGAGGATTATCCATATGCATAGTCCTCATAAAATATAATGTTTAATGTCTAACTACGCCAGTATTTCCAATCCTGTCATATGTCAAATTCAGTCCAGTCAAACCAACAGAGCCCAAATGATGATAATCATTATCTCCGGCTGCCTGCTGAGGAAAAGTTGACATTGTACTGTCATATACTGTGTCATGTTCTCCATTCATTTTTGAAAATTGTGATTGCTCTTCTTTATTAATAATTGACAGTTTATTGTTTGAGCCACCATCACTTCTTTTGGCTACTTTTACACATGTTGAATACTCGTTTGACACAGCATGGCTTGGTGAGTTTTCAGAAGACTGGTTTCTGTCAGTTGATTCTTGAATACAATCATAATGGCATGGGGATACTCCGTCATTATGGTCAACATTGTTGTGTTCGTTTTCATTGATTGTTTATCTCGTGCATATCTGGCCCATATTGTACATCGCATTTTCAGTCATATAATAGTCATCCTCTACAGGTGCGTTTGTGTCACCCTCTACAGGTGCGTTTGTGGAGCTTACTGTAGTGGCATTTTTTCTTTTTCCTTTCTTTCTCCTACAAAAAAAACAGAATATGTGTTTACAAATCAATAAAATTAGCTCATTGATAAAATAGTTTTGCATTATTATAAAGTACGAATACATTCACGTACACAAACCTGCATTCACGCCATTATGACCGTTTAGTTTCATTAAAAAAAAATAATATATAAATTTTAACGTTTCAATCATATGCAAATGTTAAACTTATCATAAAATATTTAAGAATTCAACACATTTTAAGTGTACGAGTGTAGGTTAACTTTACCTTATGTAGAAGATAACGCATACTACAGCAATAACAATTGCAAATAGAAGTCCGCTAGCTGCTATCACTGAAGGAACTGGAAGTTTAAACAGATAAAGGTAATTGTATTCAAACTAAGAATACGTGTTTTAAACAAAATTTAAATATTGCAGGAACTTGAAGTGTAAATGCTCATAGTTGAATATATTTGAATTGTAAATAAAGTATTTTGTGTTTCACAATATTTAAATAAAGTGCATTCCAGATACAACGAGATCGTCGGGACTTCACATGATTCCTCGTTATAACCGGGTCGTTACAAATTGTGAAATCCGACACCATCGAGCATCATTTATTTCTACTTTCGTTTTCGAGAACATCCCTAAAAGAGTACATAATGGGAGATAAGTCTTTGCACTCAGAAGTATTTGTTTTATTTAAATATACATGTTTATAAATATATTAAGCTATCATAGAATTTAAACAAAACATATGAAAACACATAATACTACGTTCAACCACGTGGGGTTTTTTATTAATAAGTACATTTTAAAGTTCGAAATTCACTCACGAACACCGAATAACACTGCAAGAAATAAGCCGCTTCCTTTGTGCTAATCATTCAGTAGAATTGTTTTGTTATGACATTTCGTCACCTAAAGGACGATTTAGCCCGGAGCGCTGACAAACAAGGCGCTTATTGCTCAGTAATTTCAATTTCTTCCCTTATTACTCTTTGTTTTTGATCACCATTGTTTTTCTCAAGGTGACAAACTGATGCCGACGAAGTGCTCGTTATAATTCTAAAAAATACGCATGGCACATCAAATATATGAACGTTGTAACCGATATCTCGCTAAAACCGATCTCGTTATAAACGATATAAAAAGAAAGGAAAATAGAAAAGGAAAAAGGCCGGGACACAGTAGACTGTACTCTATAAGCGGTATCTCGTTAAAACCGATCTCGTTGTAACTGGAGTAGACTGTTATAAGTAGAAAAATGTTTCTAGATTAACTTCAAAAGTAAAGTTTTAAACAAACTGATAATAGGGTTGTCTCCGTTCACGTTATCCGTTGAAGGTTGCATCGTAGAATAAATAGGTTTTAAAGTTGTACTTTCGGTTGTTTGACTTCCACGTGATATAGATGCTGAGCTTGATTGTCTTGTTGTTTCTTCCGCTGCTTTCGTACATGAAATGTTTGAAAACAATTCTCAAAGGAGTGACTTTTAAAATATAGATTGGACAATAAATGATCTTGGAAAATGTTTTTTATAAAACAAAAAGCTATGTTAGTTATATTAAAGACTGCCTCATTTATATGATGGCTATCTCGAGTGACGCATCGGTTTATGTCACTTGACTATGGGTTATGATACCCATGTAATGTCAATATGTTTGCAATTGTTTAGGTATCGAGCTCAGCATCACGTGGAACAGAATGAACAAAATTGACAAGAAATTATTCTATTATTACCTACTTTACGCATTTAGATTGATTTTATGATTTTGATGTTTAACTACACCAGTATTTCCAACTTTATCATCTTTCAGATTCAGTCCTGTTAAACCAACAGAACCCAAGAGACGATAATCATTACATTCGATTGACTGCTAAGGAAGGGTTTGTTTGCAGATTTATTGACTAGGAAAAAAATAACTCTAAAATTTACTTCGAAAGTATATTTAGACACACTTTTTATATGGTTGTCTCCGTCCACATTATCCATCGAAGCTTGCATCCTAGAATGAGTAGGTTTTAAAGTTGTACGCTCGGTTGTTTCAATTCCATGTGATATGGATGCTGGAGTGGATTGTCTTGTTTCTGTCGTTGCTTCCGTAAATGAAATGTTGAAATAAGTTCAAAATGTAATTTTACAATATTAAGTGTCCAGTTTCACGCTAAAAGATAGTGTCTCCTTAATTATTTTATTACATATCTATTGTTTTATAATGTAGTACTTTGTAAACTAAACAAAATTATATCAAGTCTGTTAATTAGTTATAATGGAAAAGTTCAACATCTCTCACGACCCCTGGTACCGGCTTGAGCGGTGTTCAATATTCACCCCTTAATGTTATGAATCTAAACGTTTGTATATTGGAAATATGATTTCAATGATAGGTGTCTGAGGTGCTGTTGAAATATTTTGTATTTATCTTTTAATTAGCACATAGAGTAGTTCTTTATCTCATTATTTTCAGATAAATACGAATTATGCTTTATCATGTAATCTTCAGTGATGTCTTGAAAACCTGTTGTCTTCACAATGATATCTACGTTTGAACCGTATTGACTACACAAATCATTTTACGGTTATTGAGAGGTGATTTCAATACATGGTTGATACGAAATTTTAGATCGCTGACATCGTGCTTTTACATACAAATGATACATGTTATGTTATTTATTCACTATATTCACTATCATATGCCGTTGATAACTTGATACCTGTTGTTGTGACTGAAAATGATAATATAATACCTTCAATGATTTATTTACAATATAACCTTATATGACGTCAGAGGGTAGAAATAGAACTTCACCCTTGATGGCCATCTCGGCTAACGTACTGGATGAGGTCACTTGACTATGATGTATGATATTTATAGAATATTAACTGTTTTTCAGGTATGAACAGAATGATCAATATTGACGAGAAAAGATTATTATCCGTATTCCTCAAAAGAATTGCAATGTTTAATATCTAACTACGCCAGTATTTCCAATTCTGTCATATGTCAAATTCAGTCCAGTCAAACCAACAGAGCCCAAATGATGATAATCATTATCTCCGACTGCCTGCTGAGGAAACGTTGACATTGTACTGTCATATACTGTGTCATCTTCTCCATTCATTCTTAAAAAAATTGTGGTTGCTGTTCTTTATCAATAATCGACCGTTTATTGTTTGAGCCAACATCTCTTCTTTTGACTACTCTTATACATATTGAATACTCGTTTGACACAGCATGGCTTAGTGAGCTTTCAGAAGATTGGTATCTATCAGTTAATTCTTGAATACAATCATAATGACCTGGGGATACTCCATCATTATGGTCAACATTGTTGTGTTCGTTTTCATTGATTGTTTCTCTCGTGCATATCTGGGCCATATTGTACATCGCATTTTCAGTCATATAATAGTCATCCTCTACAGGTGCGTTTGTGTCACCCTCTACAGGTGCGTTTGTGGAGCTTACTGTAGTGGCATTTTTTTCTTTTTCCTTTCTTTTCTCCTACAAAAAAAACAGAATATGTGTTTACAAATCAATAAAATTAGCTCATTGATAAAATAGTTTTGCATTATTATAAAGTACGAATACATTCACGTACACAAACCTGCATTCACGCCATTATGACCGTTTAGTTTCATTAAAAAAAAATAATATATAAATTTTAACGTTTCAATCATATGCAAATGTTAAACTTATCATAAAATATTTAAGAATTCAACACATTTTAAGTGTACGAGTGTAGGTTAACTTTACCTTATGTAGAAGATAACGCATACTACAGCAATAACAATTGCAAATAGAAGTCCGCTAGCTGCTATCACTGAAGGAACTGGAAGTTTAAACAGATAAAGGTAATTGTATTCAAACTAAGAATACGTGTTTTAAACAAAATTTAAATATTGCAGGAACTTGAAGTGTAAATGCTCATAGTTGAATATATTTGAATTGTAAATAAAGTATTTTGTGTTTCACAATATTTAAATAAAGTGCATTCCAGATACAACGAGATCGTCGGGACTTCACATGATTCCTCGTTATAACCGGGTCGTTACAAATTGTGAAATCCGACACCATCGAGCATCATTTATTTCTACTTTCGTTTTCGAGAACATCCCTAAAAGAGTACATAATGGGAGATAAGTCTTTGCACTCAGAAGTATTTGTTTTATTTAAATATACATGTTTATAAATATATTAAGCTATCATAGAATTTAAACAAAACATATGAAAACACATAATACTACGTTCAACCACGTGGGTTTTTATTAATAAGTACATTTTAAAGTTCGAAATTCACTCACGAACACCGAATAACACTGCAAGAAATAAGCCGCTTCCTTTGTGCTAATCATTCAGTAGAATTGTTTTGTTATGACATTTCGTCACCTAAAGGACGATTTAGCCCGGAGCGCTGACAAACAAGGCGCTTATTGCTCAGTAATTTCAATTTCTTCCCTTATTACTCTTTGTTTTTGATCACCATTGTTTTTCTCAAGGTGACAAACTGATGCCGACGAAGTGCTCGTTATAATTCTAAAAAATACGCATGGCACATCAAATATATGAACGTTGTAACCGATATCTCGCTAAAACCGATCTCGTTATAAACGATATAAAAAGAAAGGAAAATAGAAAAGGAAAAAGGCCGGGACACAGTAGACTGTACTCTATAAGCGGTATCTCGTTAAAACCGATCTCGTTGTAAGTTGAGTAGACTGTAATAAGTAGAAAAATGTTTCTAGATAAATCTTTTAAAGTAAAGTTTTAAACAAACTGATAATAGGGTTGTCTCCGTTCATGTTATCCTCTGTAGGTTGCATCGTAGAATGTGTAGGTTTTAAAGTTGTATTCTCGGTTGTTTGACTTCCACGTGATGCTGAGCTTGACTGTCTTGTTGTTTCTTCCGTTGCTTTCGTACATGAAATGTTTGAAATAAATTCTCAAAGGAGTGACTTTTAAAATAGAGATTGGACAATGAATTATATTGAATTTTTTTTTCATATAACAAAAAACTATGTTAGTTATATTAAAGACTGCCTCATTTATATGATGATCTATCTCGAGTGACGCATCGGTTCATGTCACTTGACTATGGGATATGATACCCATGTAATGTCAATATGTTTGCAATTGTTAAGGTATCGAGCTCAGCATCACGTGGAACAGAATGAACAAAATTGACAAGAAATTATTCTATTATTACATACTTTCCGCATTTAGATTCATGAATTTGATGTTTAACTACACCAGTATTTCCAATTTTATCATCTGTCAGATTCAGTCAGTTAAACCAACAGAACCCAAGCGACGATAATCATTGCATCCGATTGACTGCTAAAGAAGGGTTTGTTTTGCAGATTTATTGACTAGGAAAAAAAACTCTTAAATCAGCTCCGAAAGTATTTTTTAAACAAACTTTTAATATGGTTGTCTCCGTCCACTTTATCCGTTGAAGCTTGCATCGTAGAATGAGTAGGTTTAAAAGTTGTACACTCGGTTGTTTCAATTCCATGTGATATGGATGCTGGAGTGGTGGATTGTCTTGTTGTTTCTTTCGTTGCTTTCGTAACTGAAATGTTGAAATAAGTTCAAAATGTAATTTTACAATATTAAGTGTCCAGTTTCACGCTAAAAGATAGTGTCTCCTTAATTATTTTATTACATATCTATTGTTTTATAATGTAGTACTTTGTAAACTAAACAAAATTATATCAAGTCTGTTAATTAGTTATAATGGAAAAGTTCAACATCTCTCACGACCCCTGGTACCGGCTTGAGCGGTGTTCAATATTCACCCCTTAATGTTATGAATCAAACCATCAAATCTATATCAAGCACATTCAAAATAATCATTTTTGTTTTAAATTGCTGCTAAATAAATAAAATATTTTACTTCTTAAATATCTATTAATTGACAACTCACGAAATATATTTATATGAATAGAAGATTAGTTATCTTGTAATTCACAAACATATATCATTTTAGACCAAAAGAAATATCGATTTATTTGAAAAATACAAATAATAAAATGTGTTTCATTTGTTAATTATACAAATGATTTAAAGTATTCCAGTTGTATAAATTCTGTAAAGTTCAGCTGAATAAGTAAATATGTTTCAAAACCATGACTTTAATAATAGGGATTGAACAATGGTTAATATTAAAAAATGTTCAGGATAAAATACAAAATGTACTATAGCCTTTTTTTATAATAAACCGCTACCGATATATTGTGAGCGATAATTATAGACAATTTCCGTGAGCATCGTTTATTCGTTATCATTTTTTGCCTATTAAAATATAAAATTAAACATTTAAAGTTATTTTCAGATTTATTCATGCACCACCCATTTACACTGGACTTGATTTGGCATGTCACTTAAAAGACTAACTTTACATGTTTGTGAAAACGAAAACAGTTTTAAAACTTGATAGGAAAAAATTGACGCTTTAGACATTCGACTGTCTTTGTGAATCACTGAAATATTATTTAGATACTTTATTTAGAAATTTACTAATATCCTCGAAGACAATATGTAAAATGTTTAAATAAAGACAATCACAAACAGTTTTTAGCTTTTCTAATAAATCAATTATTTCAACTAACCTGGACTTGTGTTTTCATTTCCTCCGCTTTCTTTTTCTGTGTTTGAGCTAGTAGTTGATCTATTACAAGCAATATCGAACTTTGCTTGATCCGCTAAAGAAACGAGGTCACAGCAAATTCATTATTATCAAAATTTAATTCCTGAAGTATGGTATTTTTATAAATATGGTAATTTTCGAAAGCAAATAAAATAATCATAACATAATTTTAAAGCTGATTCCTATTGTATTTAACATTTCAAACCCTTAATTATTATCAAAGATATACAATGTACATGAACAAAGCCAACAAAACTGTAAAAGCATTATAATAAAGTAACACTGTTAACTTTGTACTTATGTATGACGAAAACTGACTTGAATAAACACCGAGACACGCCCCGTCGAAATTGTGGTTTTCATGAGTTGAAAATGAAATTTTTGTACCACTTTTAATCCTTGTATCATAATTGTGGCGTTTAATTTTGTTTATGACAGTTTCGTTTATTTCAAATTCCATGTTGAACGCTTGAGTGAAATTTTCTAACATCAAAGTTATTCCAAGTTCTTGTTTATTTGTAAAAATAACATATTCACATGACATGTGTTGGAAATCTGGAATTCTTGCTGTATCAATAAGGATGTAGTCGGATGGCCCCACTAAATGGTCTGTGCAGATATTAACAACTGTAAGAAAATGATCGTATATTGTTTTATCTTATTTATTCAAGTTACAAACTGAAACAAAATAGAGAAATTATTTTATTTTATTAGATAAAAACATTTTAATGTTATATAAAAGTGTGCATTTAAGACAAGAAGCTCAAGTATACAGTTTGTTTCATCAAATATAAATTTGTATTGTCTGCATTATCAGGTTCATAAGAGATAATGCATAATTTTGGTATTTTTACATAGCTTTGTTTTAGGTATAGGTATTTTTATAAAATAACTTAGAAGATAGACCTGAAAATCGGTTGAACATAGTATCTCCTGTTGTACGCGGTATAGTCAGAAAGTTCCCAAACTGAAGCAATAGTTCCACTATAACGGCGCGAAATTTGACCAAAAGATACGACAATAAGATCAAATGTAAATGCTGTAAACAATTGAATGAAACAAATATAAATTCACGAGGCTAATTATTGCGCATACATTGTCGGGTAAACGGGGCACATTTAAACGTCATCTAACGTCGTCGATATGATGACATTACGCTTAGTGCAAATATTTGAAACTTTCTACTAAGGATGATTTTGTAGCCCTTGCTTTCTGAGGTGATCGAGACGACTTGTGTTATCAACCCATAAACATTGACGACTTGCCTTTGCCTAAGGGGCCATTATATTGATCACAGTTTGTGTGTGTGTGTGTGTGTGTGTGTGTGTGTGTGTGTGTGTGTGTGCGTGCGTGCGTGCACGTGCCTGCGTGCGTGAATGCATGATAAGGCCCGCTAGAACTATCTCGCCGACCTTCTCCTATAGCCTCATGAAATCAAGACTGTCAGCAATATCCTCTACTTGTCGTCGATCTCTTAAATCACGTCGTTTTATTACAAACCCATGTTCCACTTATGCCTGTTCACGATCATCCCTAACACCATCCGAAAACATTTTAAGTCATCGAAAACAAATCGTTCGTAAACACTTGATTGAAGTGTCTGCATGATTTAGAGTAACAACGTGTCTGAGTGTGTCATGAACTTTTTAACAAAATCAGTTAACTTAGCATTGTTCAAAGTGCCCCGTGCGCGTTTTTAAGTGTAAAACGCTGTACCTTAAGAAATGTTTTATAAACCTTTAAATAAAGTTAAAAAGTTTGATTAAGAAAATGTGAAACTGAAAAAGGCTATTTTCAAAGTATCCCATATCTCAGGTTTTCGATGTTACAAAGGTAAATATCTTTACGGATAGGTAACGCTCGGGTAATCATAAATGCAAAAGACCATGTAAAGTATCATCGACCCTGTTAAAGAACTTTTTGACTATGCCTGTCAGCATTTCTCATTTTCAAATATTCATTATGAATAGACATATATATTTTCATGATTCTTTTTAATCATATTAAAAAATATAGCCATTCTTATTTTATATTTTTTAACTTCCTGTGTGTCCATAGTACATAACCAAAAATAAAAACCTGACTTCGTAACATTTATAATATGAACTCTCGGGAAGAACACTTTATTGAATCTTTCAAATATTAAGACTTCCGAGATTTCCTCATTATAACGACAAAGCATTTTATTAAAATAATGAACATGAATTTATTGATTTTAATCAGTTAAAATTGTAAATAAATTAGAGGGTCATGAAGTCAGTGACTGGGTCAAACCTGGGCAGCTCCATATAACTTGAGAAGACCTCCAGTAGACAGTTATATTTCGAATATTAAAACGTAGGCTACATACATAGATTCATTTTCTCAATTAATCTATGTAAACCAACATACACCAGGACTTCTGGGAATATATGAAAACCACGTCAAAACCATTTCAATGCATCAATATTCTGCCATTTTATTAAATCAATGTTCAAAAGATCAAATGCGTGCCAGATTAGGTCAACAATAATACAAATCTAATTTGAACAATTGAGATAAAAATCAATGACTTATTAAAGGAACATTTTTAATTTCCTTTACATTATAAACTATTGAAACCGTTCAGAAAGTAGAGAAGCATTTCAATTCCTTTTACCGGAAATGTAGTTTACTTCATACTGATTTTGTATAAAATTAAATGATAACGATTGTCTGTATTTTATGCCCGCTGAGATGGAAAATAGCTAGTTTTTTAAAGTCTTACATTTACTAAACTATACGTACTAGGTTGTGTTCTGGGTCCACAAAATGATTTACACTGAGTACCTGAAAAAAATATTTGCCTTATTATATCAAACATTTAGAACAGAATCAAGATTTTAGAGGACCTAATAGTGGAGTGTTTGAGAATCAACATAATCACATTCACCCTGCTATTAAACCGTATCATTACACACAGCGTCAAGCTATTGCCGTTTATGACTTTGATTGGAAATATATATTACATATGTATATATTTGTGTATAATATCATACAATTTAAAATATACTATGCCAATATGTGAATAAAATTGTTTATTACAGAAATCAATGAAATATAGAAAAAACATGAATATGTCAAATTTGAACAAAAGAACGCTGGGATACAGCAGTCCTTTTAACAAGTCAAGCTAAGGTGGTACTTACTGAAAAAAAGTATTTTGTAATGAACTACCTGTATGTATTCATATTGTGTTGATTACTTATAGTTTTTAGAGTTATAAACGCGACATATCTTCTCTATGTGAATTTAACACATGTTTATTTACAAATTACATATTAATTAGGAAATGTGTAGCAATTATCGATATTTTGAAATATCAAATTTAAGCAAAAATATATTTTTAAGATGACTTATTTAAAATTGAATTACCAAAGCTATAGGCTTAAACTAATTTCTCTCTTTACTGGATCATTCCAAGCTATAAAAAACAATTCTTTTATGTAAATAATATGAAATAAGCATACATGGTATATAATGGGACAAAAAGTCATTTACAGATTTAAATCATACTGTTTAAAATACAATAGATGTGTAGATACCTCTGATAAACCATAGAAGGCACATGAAACAGTAAATTCCCATTCCGAAGTTTATCCTCTTAACTGAAGTAAAATAAAATAAAAAATGATTCTTTATATATGTATAAATTCGAATTGTTATAAAAAGAAAGTATTGTCCTTATACATTTCACGTTAAAAGGAAATAATATTTATTGTTCTTAGTTGCATTGTTTCATTGTAGACTTAACCGGAAGATTTATCGAGGATCTATTAAAAATAGATATGATATTTTATATTTAACCTATTTAAAGAATGAATTTACTGTATACAAGGGCTGATTGAGAAGTTCGCTGAATTAGTGAAACCTGTGTTAGAAAACAAAAACAATACACATCACAAGATACTGACATTGAGCTCGAATATAAGTTACATACACTGTACATTGAATAATAAAGTTTACATGTAACTTTGAACAACAGTGCTATGTAGTACTTGAAGCACAAAGATATTAACATTGGTCTTGGTTGTCTTTACCTCAATGCTTTAGTCCATTTCCCGGTCCCCTTTCTCCACATAATCACGACTTGTGAGCATATAATTCAATGTACATATCTCACTTATGTACAGCGTTCACCGGAAATAGTCCCTCAAAACCTCGAAAACGAACGTCGAGTTCACACAAGGTAATGTTTCATCTTATTTAACTTATAACTTTATCTTTTTTTCAAACTGAACAATTTTGTGAAGCTGAATGTGTCTGATTTTATAGCATTATTTGCTTTTTCTGCAAATTGAATACTTTCTGTTAAATTGGCGATAAATTGTAGCGTATTTGTTGATGTTTGCGTACGATGTTGATATTCACCACAAAAACAAGCCCAAAACGCATTTTCTGTATCAAATTCCGTCTTTAATACAAAATATAGACCCCCTCTACTTGTATTTGAGTCTTGCCTTGTGTACAGTCTAGCAAGAAAAACAAATTTAAGTGAACGGTGTATATTGTTTTAATGTAAGGGGTCTGTAGAATGTGTACGGTGTCTAGCAATCACATATTTTAAAGGTTTACAGTCTTTTATGAGCTGACAGTTATTCTGATGTAAGGAATGTCACAAGGTGATGAATGTTTAGTTAAATAATTACTGAGATTCATACTTATACATAAGAATGTGTCATTCCAGGTAGCCACTTGCCTTCTTACAAAAAGAGTAGGGCACTATTTACATCAAAACAATTCATGTATTGTTTATAAATTGTTTTTGTTCTTATTTATATTATTTTTGTGAGAGGACGCTAGCAAATACCTTGAGATTTGACACTTCCAAAGGAACACAAACACATGTCTACATACCCTTACAAATTAAACACGACCCATATGAGTCATCAAACTAAAGCCATTAATTATAGGAAGCAGTCAAGCAAACTATGAGTGAAATAGAAGATAAATGACAAATGAAATTTCGTTATCAATGATTAGATTGACACTATATACTACATAAATGTGGTGGAACATTAATAGAACAACTATAGTAAATTATGGAAAAAAACTTTATTATTTTGTTCCTATTATTTGTATTATTTCTTGATATATAACACACTTTTTTCCCAATCTATATACATAAGTAACTGTTTATCAATGCATGAAAATATATCAAACTTGACTTTTCTACTCAGGAACTTTCTTTTTTGAACGTTTTATCTGGTGCACTCTAAAAGCTTAATATTAAGGTAATATAATTCTTTCTTTATTAATGTACGTTTGTTTCAAGAGGCATGTTATGAAAAGAAAACGAAACTTTGTTTATTGAAAATACGACTTTGGTGATTATATGTTTGAGATATTGTTGGTATTTCTTGTATATATCTTTACATTTAGCACATAGTACTTTATAGCTTTACTTTAAGGTAAATCAGAATTATATTTTATCATGTAATCGTCAGTGATGTCTTGAAAACCAATTGTATTCGTGATATCTACTTTTGAGCCCTGTTTACTATAAAAATCATTTAACGGTTATCCAGAAAGAGGCGACTTGAATACACGGTTGATATGAAATTTCAGATTACTGATATCATGCTTTTGCATACAAATGATATATGTTATGTTATTTATTCATATTTATTATTATATGCCGTTGCAATGTGTTGTTGTGATTGAAAATGATAATATTATATCTTATTGACGTCAGAGGGTAACAATAGAACAATGTGTTCACCCTTGATGGCCATCTCGGCTAACGTACTGGATGACGTTATTTGACTATGAGATATGATATTAATATAATAATGTTTACTGTTTTTCAGGTATGAACAGAATGATCAATATTGTCAAGATAAGATTATTATCCATATTTCTCAAAATAAATTACAATGTTTAATGTCTAACTACGCCAGTATTCCCAATTCTGTCATATGTCAAATTCAATCCAGTCAAAGCAAGAGAGCCCAAACGATGATAATCATTATCTCCGACTGCCTGCGGAGGAACGGTTGACACTGTCCTGTCATATACTGTGTAATCGTCTCCATTCATTCCTGAAAATTGTGGTTGCCTTTCTTTATCGATAATCGACCGTTTATTGTTTGAGCCAACATCACTTCTTTTGGCTACTTTTAGACATGTTGAATACTCGTTTGACACAGCATGGCTTGGTGAGTTTTCAGAGGACTGGTTTCTGTCAGTTGATTCTTGAATACAATCATAATGGCCTGGGGATGCTCCGTCATAATGGTCAACATTGTTGTGTTCGTTTTCATTGATTGTTTCTCGCGTGCATAGCTGACCCATATTGTACATCGCATTTTCAGTCATATAATAGTCACTCTCTACGGGTGCGTTTGTGGAGCTTACTGTAGTGGCATTTCTTCGCTTTCCTTTCTTTCTCCTACAAAAAACAGAATTTGTGTTTACAAATCAATAAAATTAGCTTATTGATAAAATAGTTTTGCATTATTATAAAGTACGAATACATTCACGTTATTCATTAGGGTTTGTACACAAACCTGCATTCACGCCATTATGACCGTTTAGTTTAATTAAAAAAGATAAGATATAAATTTTAACGTTTCAACCATATGCCAATGTTAAACTTATCATAAAATATTTAAGAATTCAACACATTTTGGTAAATGTACGAGTGTAGGTCAACGTTACCTTTTGTAGAAAATAACGCATACAACAGCAATAACAATTCCTAATAGAAGTCCGCAAACTGCTATCACTGAAGGAACTGGAAGTTTAAACAGATAAAGGTAATTTTATTCAAACTAAGAATGCGTGTTTTGAACAAAATTCAAATATTGCAGGAACTGCAAGTGTAAATGCTCATAGTTTAATCTATTTAAATTGTAAATAAAGATTTTTATGTTTCACAATATTTAAATAAAGTGCACTCCAGATACAACGAGATCGTCGGGACTTCACATGATTCCTCGTTATAACCGGGTCGTTACAATTTGTGAAATCCGACACCATCGAGCATCATTTTTTTCTACTTTCGCTTTCGAGAACATCCTTTTTAAAGAGTACATAATGGGACTAACTCTTTGCACTCAGAAGTATTTGTTTTATTTAAACATACATGTATATAAATATATGTCTATCTATCATAGAATTTAAACAAAACATATGAAAACACATAATAATACGTTCAACATTGTGGGTTTTTATTAATAAGTACATTTTCGTTTTCAAAAGTCACTCACGAACACCGAATAACACTGCAAGAAATTAGCCGCTACCTTTGTGCAAATCAATCAGTAGAATTGTTTTGTTATGACAGTTCGTCAACTAAAGGACGATTTAGCCCGGAGCGCTGACAAACAAGGTGCTAATTGCTCAGAAATTTCAATTTCTTCCTTAAATACTCTTTGTTTTTGGTCACCATTGTTTTCTCAATGTGACAAACTGATGCCGACGAAGTGCCAATGAAGTGACCTCGTTAAAATTCTAAAAAAAATCGCATGAAACATCAAATATATGTACGTTGTAACCGATATCTCGCTAAAACCGATCTCGTTATAAACGATATAAAAAGAAAGGAGAATAGAAGGAAAAGGGCCGGGACACAGTAGACTGTACTCTATAAGCGGTATCTCGTTAAAACCGATTTCGTTGTAAATGGAGTTGACTGTAATAAGTAGAAAAATGGTTACTTCTAGATTAACTTTGAAAAGTAAAGTTTTAAACAAACTTATAATAAGGTTGTCTCCATTCACGTTATCCTTTGAAGTTTGCATCGTAGAATAAATAGGTTTTAAAGTTGTACTCTCGGTTGTTTGACTTCCACGTGATATAGATGCTGAGCTTGATTGTCTTGTTGTTTTTTCCGTTGCTTTCGTACATAAAATGTTGAAATAAATTGTTGAAAGAGTGACTTTTAAAATATAGATTGGACAATGAATGATATTGAAAAATGTGTTTTATAAAACATGAAATGTAAATTATATCAAAGACAGCCTCATTTATATCATGGCTTTCTCGAGTGATGCAACGGTTTATGTCACTTGACTATGGGATATGATACCCATGTAATGTCAGTATGTTTGCAATTGTTTAGGTATGTACAAAATGGTAAAAAGTGACAAGAAATTATACTATTATAACCTACTTTCCTTATTTAGATTCATGATTTTGATGTTTAACTACATCAGTATTTCCAATTTTATTATCTGTCAGATTCAGTCAGTTAAACCAACAGAACCCAAGCGACGATAATCATTACATCCAATTAACTGCTTAAGAGGGGTTTGTTTTGCAGATTTATTGACTATGAAAAAATAACTCTTAAATTTACTTCGAAAGTATTTTTCAAACAAACTCTTAATATGGTTGTCTCCCTTCACATTATCCGCTGAAGCTTGCATCGTAGAATGAGAAGGTTTTAAAGTTGTACCCTCGGTTGTTTCAATTCCATGTGATATGGATGCTGGAGCGGATCGTCTTGTTGTTTCTTTCGTTGCTTTCGTAAAGGAAAAGTTGACATAAGTTCTATCCCCTACAAAAATTGTATTTTTACAATATTTAGTGTCAAGTTTCACGCTAAATGAGAGTGTCTTCATAATTATTTATTGTTTTATGATATAATACTCTGTAAACTAAACAAAATTACATCAAGTCTGTTCATTAGATATAATGGAAAAGTGCAACATCTCTCACGAACCCTGGTACCGGCTTAAGTGGTATTCAATCTTCACCCCTTAATGTGATTAATCAAATCATCAAATCTATATTATGCATATTCAAAATAATTAGTTTGTATTTTAAATCTCTATTAAATGATAAAATATTTTACTTCATAATTATCAATGAATTGACAACTCACGAAATATGTTTATATGAAAATAGAAGATTAGTTAATGTTATTGTTAGCTTGCAACTCACAAACATATATCATTTAAGACCAAAATAAATATTGATTCATTTGAAAAATACAAATAATTAAATGTTTTTCGTTTGTAAATTATACAAATCGTTAAAAGTATTCCATTTTTATATATCCTGTAAAGTTCAGCTGAATTAGGAATATGTTTCAAAACCGTGACTTTGATAATAGCAATTGAGCAATGATTGATATTGAAAAATGTTCAGGATAATATACAAAAACTACCTTAGCATATTTCTTTTAAATTAAACGCTACCGACATATTCCCAGCGATAATTATAGAAAATTTCCGTGAGCCTCGTTTATTTTTTATTATTTTTGCCTAATAAAACATAAAATTAAATATTTACAGTGACATTTACCTATGAACTTCATATTTGCACTTGACTTGATGGGTATAATGCCACTTAAAATACTTACTTTACATGTTTATAAAAAAGAAAGAAAAATAATTAAAAACTGGATAAGATATGGACGCTTCAGACCTTTAGAATGTCTTTGTGAATTGCTGAAATATCATTTAGATACTAGATTTAGACGTTTATTACATATCCTCGAAAACAATTTGTAAAATGTTAAAATAAAGACAATCACAAAACAGTTTTTGTATTTTCTGATCGCAGATCAGAAAATTCAATGCTGACATTCAATCTCTGACACAGAATTTTCAGGACAAACCTAACAACAAGTAGTTATCAAAACAGCTAACTAGCGAAGTAAAAGAAAGAAATATGTTTATTTTGTTACAAGTATCCAACAAATTTCAACGCATTTAAAGTTTAAAAGAATATAGAATTGGCAATAAATACACAATCACAAATTACGCGGATGAATATCATTTTCATCAATGAAAATGCTACTTTTAGCGATGTCGATTACCGAATACTCCAGAGCGTAGTACACAAATAAATCGTGGAATATATTTATGTCGGACTGATTTGGCAAGAAGATTTTCGCTAAATTATTTTCATCAGCGTTAAACAACAGGTTTATCGTGAACAAAATACCTCGAAATTTATAAGGATTACAAATACAAAATGGAAATTCTCAATTTAGAATTAGGATGTATTTGTTTTTATTCAGGCATCTTACGTATAACCTCACCGTGGTAAAGGGGTAGCGCGCTCGTTTAGGCTGTGAGAGGCCTAGGGTTCAAATCTTAGTCGAGGCAACATTTTTTTCTTTTGAAGTGTCTTTTTTAAGGAAGTAGCCACGATATGCACGGATAAAGTGTGGCTGTCATAAAAAAATGAACATAAGTCATTTTCTTATTCAACTCTAGTCATGCAAAATTCAATATGTATCAATCTCAAACTGTAATAGTAAAAAATCTAAACGCAGTCGCTGCGTAAGATGAATTATAGTATATAAAAATAAACTTATACATAGATAGTCAGTATGATTTAGAATACAAAGATCAGAAAATACCACAGAGCTTGCAGTCCTTTGATTATCTTGTGTAATAAGTCAACTGTTTTAACTTACTCGGACTTATGTTTTCATTTCCCTAGCTTTCCTTTCCTTGGTTTGAGTTAAATGTTGATCTATTACAAGCAATATTGAACTTTGATTGATCCTCTTAAGAAACGAGAAAACAGCAAATTATTGAAAATACGATTATTATTTTCAAAAATTAATTCCTGAATTATGGTATTTAAGAATGGGTTAATCTTCAAAAGCAGATAAAAAAGCATAACATTATTTTAAAGGTGATTCCAATTGTATATAACATTTCAAACCCTAAATAGTTATCTAAGACAACAATGTACATGAACAGAGCAAACGAAACTGTAAAAGCATTGTAATAAAGTAACACTGTTAATTTTATACTTATGTATCAAGAATACTTACTTGAAAAAACACCGAGACACGCCCCATCTCGCTCGTGATTTACATTAGTGGAAAATGAAATTTTTGTACCACTTTTAATCGTTGTATCATAATTGTATTTAATTTTGTTTATGACAGTTTCTTTTATTTCAAATTCCATGCTGAACACTTCAGTGGAATTTTCTAACATCAAAGTTATTCCAAGTTCTTGTTTATTTGTTAATATAACACATTCACATGACGTTTGTTGGAAATCTGGAACACTTGCTGTATCAATAAGGATGTAGTTTGATTGCTCCACTAAGTCGTCTGTGCAGATATGTACAACTGTAAGAAAATGATCGTAGATTGTTCTATCTGTCTCATTCAAGTTACGAATTTTAACCAATAAGAGAAAATGTTTAATTTTATAAGATCATGTTATATCAAAGTGTGCCTTTAAGACAAGAAGCTCAAGTATTTAGTTTATTTTATCTAATATAAAATTGTATTGTCTTCATTATTAGGTTAATTAGAAATTATGCAAATTTTGGTATTTTTACATATATTTTTTTCTGTGCAGATATTAACAACCGTAAGAAAATGATCGTAGATTGTTTCATCTGTCTTATTCAAGTTACAAATTTAAACCAAAAAGAGAAAATGTTTAATTTTATAAGATCAGCAAACATATTAATGTTATATCAAAGTGTGCCTTTAAGACAGAAGCTCAAGTATACAAAATACAACAAATTAACAAATATAAATTTGTATTGTCTTCATTATCAGGTTAATTAGAGATAATGCATATTTTTGGTATTTTTACATATCTTTATTTTTAGGCATAGGTATTTTTTTCAAAATAACTTAGAAGATAGACCTGAATATCGGTCGAACATAGTGTCTCCTTTTTGACACTTGTACGCGGTATAGTCAGGAAGTTCCCAAACTGAGGCAATAGTTCCACTATAAGGGCGCGAAATTTGATAAAAAGATATCGGTATACGACAATAAGATCAAATGTAAATGCTGTAAACAATTGAATGAAACAAATATAAATTCACGAGGGAAATTATTGCGCAGACATGCTGGGGTACACGGGGCACATTGGAACGACATTTAGCGTCGTCGATTAGATGGAACGC